ATTTTATTTGAAACATTTTTTCATGCGCTCAATCGTTTTTGAGATAGAGGGCAGTGAGCGCGCAGCGCTCATCCATACGTACTGTAATGCAATCAACCGTGAATATCTGTGAATACTACCTTTAATTTTGAATAATTTGTATTATTTATCAGTTAATACATTGCATTTAATAACATTTTACATATTTTCAATACATTCATTTAATGATAATGATACTTACCTACTTTGTGGAATTAAAATCTCTTTAAATGAAATACTTATTGTAGGTATATCTTAATTTATTGAAAGTAGATTTTAAGTAGAAAAATAATTAAGTACTTTATCTTTCAAATGTGTAAGTTTTTATATATTGGATAATATATTATACTTGTTATATTATTATATATCTAAAAGTTATATTAATTTTTTCAAAGTAAATTTTAAGGAAGTAAAACGAGTTAATGTATTTTAATTTTATCTTTGTTCAGTACCTGTACATTTCTTACGATTGAAATTGAATTGCAGTGAAAATCTAGAAATCTTTAATAATTTAAAGAACAAAAGTATTAATTTTCTTCTTCTTCACCGTCATCTTCTGGACGTTCGGGAATTTCTGTTTCATCGTCATCATCTTCGGTGCCCTGAATCGTTGTTTCCAGACCTTCCAGTTATAATCATGATAGAAAAATAAGTTTTTAAAACCTTACACATTTTAAAGATGAGATATACAATAAATATTTCATTAAATGCGTTTTTAAATACACAAAGTAGGTAAGTATTATTCAATGAATATGTTGAAAATATGTAAAATGTTTAAATACAATGTACTAATTGATAAATAATACAAATTTTTCAAAATTCAAGGTAGTATTCACAGATATTCACGGTTCATTGCATTACAGTACGTATGGATGAGCGCTGCGCGCTCACTGCCCTCTATCTCAAAAACGATTGAGCGCATGAAAAAATGTTTCAAATAAAATTTGTCCCAAATTTTGTGCTCTACAATTATGATAATAAATGTTAACATCACTGGAGCAATAAAAACCGAGATAATCGCAAAAAACTGTTATTCTTCATCTTTGACCTTGAATAACTTACGACGCAGACACGAGATTTTATGAGACTTTTGACACAACTTTTAAAACGTCAAAATTAAGGTATATACAAAAATTCAGCTTATTATCTCTCATTCGGAGATTGATCCCTTTTTTATCCTAAAATGACTGGACTAATAGTCCAAACAGAGACACTTAATTTAACCGCCCAGGTAGAGTCCGTCGCGCACGGGGATGAGTCCGTCAGCACACAGGTAAAGTCTGTCGCGCACAGGTAACAGTCCGTCGCGCACGGGTAAGAGTCCGTCAGCACACCGGTAAAAGTCTGTCGCGCACAGGTAACAGTCCGTCGCGCACGGGTATGAGTCCGTCGCGAAACTATACTACGGTAATGTCGTAAATGCACACTTAAACTCCGTTCTCGTACACGTAGATTCCGTACTCGTAACAGTCCAGCCAATTACCCCTCTCTTTAGGAGAAGTGAGTCCGCGGATCAACCCGGCGGGAAGTAAATGGCCTAAGACTTTGAGTATTAATCGCAGAAAAAAACACAAGACCTAGGAGTGGGTATCCAACTCGCTGCAAGGGCTTAATGTTTTTTAGCTGAGAGTGGGAATCCAACTCTGAGGAAAAACTTTGATGCAGCTCCCTTTATTGGGGTGGGTTTGCACTGAGCATTCCTGTGCGCCGGTAAAGCTTAGGGGGGATATGATAAGGCTTGAGTCTGTACGAGGGTGGCGATCGGAGCGCTATTCTGGTGGGCGCCCGGGGCATTTATTGGGACCGTTACAAAACGAAAATTTAAACATTAAACAAATCAAAAATTTTAAAACGATAAATTGGGAAACTAAAAATTGAAAAATTAAAAAAGCGAAAAACTGAAAAATTAAAAAATTGCACAATCGGAAAATTGAAAATTCGAAAAATTGCAAAATTGTAAAATTGAAAAGCGAAAAAATTACGAAATGAAAAATTTAAATATAAAAAATTTGAAATTGAATTTTGAGAAATTGAAAATCGAAAAATCGAACGAACGAAAAGTTAAAAGTTCTAGGAATTGAAAAATCGAAAAATTTCAAAATGAAAAATTAAAAAAATATCCAATTTTCAATTCCAAAAATTGAGAAAACGAAAAAACAAAATTTCTAAAAATTGAAAATGGAGAACAAAAATTGAAAAATCGAAAAATTAAAAAATGTTGGAATTTCAAAACTGTAATATTACAAAGTTAAAAAAATTTTTGCAAAATGGCCAAACTGAAATTTCGATAAACCGCGAAATTGAGAGATCGAAAAATTTCAAATTGAAAATTCGAAAAATTAAAAACGGAAGAATTTCAAAATTGTAAAATTAAAAATTTAAAAACCGAGAAATCGCAAATTGAAATCAAAAATTCTAAAAATTGCAAAGTGAAACATTGAAAAATCAAAGAACTGAAAAATTGACAGCTTGAAAAATTCGGAAAATAAAAACCAAAAATTGAAAATCAAAAAAATGAAAAATGAAAAATTGCAAACAAAAATTGAAAAATTGAAAATCGGAAAATTGCAAAATGGTCAAATTGAAATTTCGAAAAATTGCAAAATTGAAATCGAAAAATTGGGAAACTTCAAAGTCGCAAATTAAAAAATTTCAAATTGAAATTTTCATGATTCAAAAATTCTAAAAATTACGAGAAACTGAAAAATCGGAAAATTTAAAAATGACAACTTGAAAAATTTGAGTATAAAAATCAAAAAATCGAAAAATGATTAATTAAAAAGTGAACATTTAAAAATCGAGAACATAAGCATTGAAAAATCAAAAAATTTAAAAATCGAAAATTCGAAAAATTGCAGAAGAAAAAATTGAAATAAAAAAATTGTAATTTCTAAAAACTGCAAGTCGAAAATTTAAAAAACAAAACTGAAAAATTGAAAAAACGAAAAATCAAAAATTAAAAATCGAGAACTTAAAAATCTAAAAATTTTAAATCGAAAAATTGGGCAACTAAAAATAGAAAAAAGGAAAACTCAAAATATATGTAAAAATTAAAAAATCGAAGACTTGCAAAACTGACAAATCGAAAACTTGAAATCGAAAAATAAAAAATTGTGAAACTGAATAGTCGCAAACTGAAAAATGAAAAAATTTCAAATTCTGTAATTAAAAAATTGAAAAAAATGAAAAATTCTAAAACTTGTATTTCGAAAAATTAAAAAAGTACAAAAATCAAAAATTTTAAAACGATAAATTGGGAAAGAAAAAATTGAGAAACTAAAACTTGAAAAATCTAAAAACTGAAAAATAAAAAAATTGGAAAATTCAAAATTCGAAAAACTACAAAATTGTAAAATTGAAAAACGAAAAAATTTCAATATTATAAAATTAAAAACTCGAAAAATTGCAATCGAATACATACTTGTAAAATTGAAAAACGAAAAATTAAATGAAAAATCCAAAAAAAAATCGAAATTTTAATCTCGAAAAATTAAAAATTCGAAAAATTGAAAGAACAAAAAGTAAAAATTTCTAGGAATTGAAAATTTAAAAATTTTAGAATCCAAAAATTAATATTTAGGAATTGAAAAATCGAAAAGTTAAAAAATACTAGAATTGCAAAATTGTAAAATTACGAAGTTGAAAAATCGGAAAATTGCAAAACTGCAAAACTGAAAAATTTTAAATTGAAAAATGGAAGAATTTCAAAATTCTGGAATTAAAAAGTTGAAAAACTGAAAAATCGTAGGGGAGTAAATCAGAACGAAAATTCGAAAAATAAAAAATTCGAAAAATTGCATAATGAACAAATTGACAAAAATTATAACTCCAAAATAAAAAAAATATACAAAATTGAAAAAACGAAAAAATCAAAAATTTTAAAACTAAAAATTGAAAAAAAAAAACGAAAAATTGAGAAACTAAAAATTGAAAAAATACCAAACTCAAAATGTGTGAAAAATCGAAACTTCGGAAAACTGCAAAATTTTAAAACTGAAAAACGGAAATATTTCAAAATTATAAAATTAAACACTCGAAAAATTACAATCGAAAATTTGTAAAATTGAAAAATTTCAACCAAAAAATTGAAAATCTAGAAATTCTTTATTGGAAAGTTGAGAAATGAAATATCGAAAAATTGATTTCGAAAAATTTCAAAATGAAAAATCAAAAAAACATAAAAATTTAAATCAACATCAGAATTGAAAATTCGAAAAATCGAATAATTAAAAAATGCTAGAATTTCAAAATTGGAAAATCGTAAATCAAAACGAAAATTTGAAAAATCAAAAATTCTAAAAATTGCAGAATGAAGAAAATTGAACTCGAAAAACTGTAAATTGTAAAAATTTTAAATCGAAAAAATAAAAAAACACAAAATTGAAGGAACCAAAAATTGAAAATACAAAAATTCAAAATGTCTGAAAATTGAAAAATCGAAAAATTTTAAAAATCCGAAAATTGAAAATTCGAACTACTGCAAAATTGTAAAATTAAAAAATGAAATATGGAAAAATTTAAAATATCTAAAAATTGAAACATCGAAAAATTGAGGAAAAAGATGAGAAATAAAAAATTAGAAAATTGAAAATCGAAAAATCAACAACGTAGAAAATTGCCATGTAACTAGAAAATCGAAAATTAATGAAAAATTAAAACATTGAACTGAAAACTCGAAAAACTGCAAATATATAGATAAACAAAAAATCGAAAAATTGGTAAAACAAAAAATCAAAATTTCTGAAAATCAAAATTTCTGAAAATTGAAATGTCGAAAAATTGAAGAAACGAAAATCTGGAAAACTTAAAAATAAAAAATAAAGAAGCCGAAAAATCGTAAAGTAAGATATTTTAAACTGATAACTCGAAAAAACGAGAAACTGAAAACTCAGAAAATTAATAATAACCACTTTTTTACGGTTGCACTTGAAACACCTGAAAAAAAAAATAGACAGGAGAAAAAAATTCCGACTGCCTAAAAGTACTTATCACAAAATTTATTTCAACATATAAGTCCTCAACTCCAACATATTCGTCAAATAATTGGCATAACTCAAACCCGGATGCCCCTCCACAAACCTGACAATCTCGTCAACATCATCGGGACTCAGCTTTGGCAAATAGAAAAAAATCGAAACCAAATTTTTCCTGGCCGCTTCCACATCACCAACACCACTGATTTCAAGCAGCGGTAAATTACCTAAAAACAACAAAAGCACCATCAAAACTGCCAACATAAAAAAATCACGGGTACCTAAAATCCGCGCCAAAGAATTCTGGACGCCACTTTGGACCACTTCCTGCCCCCTCCTGCACAAATCCAAAATCCCGTCAATCAATTTCCCCGGAATCCGCTCATTACACAGAAATTCTGGCAACTTCTCCATCCACGAGTGGTGCTTTTGGAGACTGTGATCAGAAAAATCATCAATATTTAAGCGACAGAGCGTTAAATTGATAATAATTAGAATAGACTTACCAAGGGCTTGTAAGGATTTCTAAAATGTGATTTTTGTACAGTTCTGGTATTTTTTCGTTGTAAAAATTTAAAATGTGCTCCATTAGTTCCGTTTCGTTTATGCCGAGTCTGCGGCACAAAAATGGGTTTTCTAGGACGATTTGCTTCAAGATTTTTACCAAATAGGAGAAGCTGGTGGAGTTTAGGCGAAAACGGGATTTTAAACAATCTAAAAATTTTCACTCATGTAATATGAAACCAAATAAGTGGACATAATTACGTACTAGTGAGGTAAGTAGCAACTGCTGTCTGTTTGGGAACGTTTCTGCCATTTTTCACCCTCAGGGTGATATAAATATAAATTAAAACCAAATTTTCTTCAACGAAATTGGGGTCATTGTTAAAAATAAAACATTTAGGGAATTCTTTCACAATTTCTAGATTTTTTTTATTGTGAGAATAGGGAAAAGTGCTCATGATGTTGTCCAGAAAAAGCACAGATTTGTGTTGTGTGAAAATATTTCCCTAAAACAATAATATCTATATTTATAAATTCATTTAACACAGACAATTCAACTTACACTTGTACAACTCTCAACGTACTCTTGCAGCAGCCGTAAAATATTTACCACACACGTGAAAATCGCAACCGAATCTTCGCTTGTCAATACCGTCGAAAGTGAGCTTTTCTTCACGCTTTTCTCAGGCACTATTTCCATCCAAATTTCAAACAACAGTTGCGTTAAATCCAAAATGTGGCCATCAAAATTTGTGTTTATATTTTTACTTGAAGAAAACGCAACAGAGTCTATATTTTCATAGGCGCGGATGTTTTTATACATTGGAATGTAGAAACAATCTTTGGCGGACGCAACAATGGGGTTGGTACCATCATGGACACTTTTATGTGTTTGTCGGTTCTGTACCATGGCGCATAAAACCCCATACAAGCGCGCCAAAACCTTCACCCTCCATTTCACACTAGTGATTTTTCCTTCTAGATTCAAACTCAAACTGCGTTCTGACGTGGATTGTTTCAACTTTGAAATTAGCATTAAAAAATTGGGGAAAAAGTCGCTGAAATTTTCGGCTATGAGAAGGCTTTTGTGCTCGATGATGGCGTCCAGAAGGAGCAAAGAGTCCTCTTGAATGTGCCTATTGATGTTGGTCATTGCGCATTTTAAATTAGTGAGGATGTAAGTGAAGAACGGTCTTAACGTATTATCAGAAACCTGTAATTTTGTGTGAAAAATGACTCAAATAATCTGTTTGGACGCACCTTTTCGAAAACCGCGTTGAGTAGTTTAACTGAAGCCCTGCGGACTTTTCTTTCTCGGTCCTGAATGAGCGCACTCCCGTTCTGGATAATTGTCGACAGGTAAATCTGGACAGATTCTAAGGGGTTGAGAGTGATGATCTCCTTCAGGTCTTGACAACTTTCGGTCTTGATGGTGTCGTTGAAGTGCTTCAATTTGGGTAGTAGTTCCTAGAATTTGGTTAAGGGCGTGAAGGTGGGAGGGTTTTTGGTCAGCTTACGGTGATAGTTGCTGTTTTCTTGGTCCCTGCGACTAATTCTCTTTCTTGGAGCTGCTGCTGGAGCACTATTGGTTTTATTTTGAAGGACGTGTTCGTCACATTTTGGCCTTTCGGTAAAAATTTCGTTTTCGATTTTATGTGCACTTTGTTTCTTTCTGATTTTAACTTCTTGGAGTGTTTGTGGTTTTTCCCCATTTTTAAATTCACGTTTGTTTTTTGAGGTTAATGAAAAGTTAGGTTAGGTTCGGCAAGGTCAGTGTACGAACATCGAATTATCAAAAGCGCTTTGGATCGAATAGAAAGCGGACTATAAAATTACAAACTTGTATTCTTGGTTGCCTATATAAATATGATACAAACGTTATCTAACCCTCCCAAAAATAGCAGTGAGACGATCTTGTTATTTCATTTATTAATGTCGTGAACCCAAAAGCACATTTTAGACAGTGCTAACATAGATGGACACGATATATGGACAGTAGATGATTTTTTCTTCTTGATTTAAGATATAACATTTTATTTTATAATTTGATCAAAGTGTTGCAGTACATCTTGCTCATAACAAACAACAACCTATAGATTTCTATTGTCCAATCTATTTAATATACACATAATAACACATATGTACAAAAAATATCTATACATAGTTTTACATTAATTTTTGCAAAAGTCGTTTAAATTCCCCTCGCTTATTCGCAATAAACACGGACTCGTAATCCTGAGAAAATTCAGCACGTAATGGACACGGCGCACGCTTGATTCGGACCATTTTCAAAAATTTTGAAAAAAAGGGCAGACAAATTTGCATTTTTCTCGCTTATTTGAAGAGGTAGATCAAAAACGAGAACGGAATCGTAATCCTGAGGAAATTACGCATGAAATGACACCCAACTTGGTCGAAACAGACCAATTTTGAAGAATTAAAAAAATGAAGGGGGGCAGACAAATTTGCATTTTTGTCGCTAATTTGAAGAGATGGATCAGAAACGAATACGGAATCGTAATCCTGAGAAAATTCCGCGTGAAATGACACCCAACTTGGTCGAAACAGACCAATTTTGAAAAATAAAAAAAAATTAAGGGGGGCAGACAAATTTGATATTTTCTCACTTATTTGAACAGATGCGTCAAAAGCGAATACGGAATCGTAATCCTGAGGAAATTCCGCGTGAAATGATACCCAACATGGTCGAAACGGATCAATTTTGAAAAATTCGAAAAATGAAGGGGGGCAGACAAATTTGCATTTTTCTCGCTTATTTGAAGAGATAGGTCAAAAACGAATACGGAATCGTAATCCTGAGGAAATTCCGCGTGAAATGATACCCAACATGGTCGAAACGGACCAATTTTGAAAAATAAAAAAAATAAAGGGGGGCAGACAAATTTGCATTTTTCTCGCTTATTTGAAGAGATATGTCAAAAACGAATACGGAATCGTAATCCTGAGGAAATTTCGCGTGAAATGATACCCAACATGGTCGAAACGGACCAATTTTGAAAAATAAAAAAAATAAAGGGGGGCAGACAAATTTGCATTTTTCTCGCTTATTTGAAGAGAAATGTCAAAAACGAATACGGAATTGTAATCCTGAGGAAATTCCGCGTGAAATGATACCCAACATGGTCGAAACGGACCAATTTTGAAAAATAAAAAAAATAAAGGGGGGCAGACAAATTTGCATTTTTCTCGCTTATTTGAAGAGATATGTCAAAAACGAATACGGAATCGTAATCCTGAGGAAATTCCGCGTGAAATGATACCCAACATGGTCGAAATGGACCAATTTTGAAAAATTCGAAAAATAAAGAGGGGCAAACAAATTTGCATTTTTCTCGCTTATTTGAAGAGATAGGTCAAAAACGAATACGGAATCGTAATTCTGAGGAAATTCCGCGTGAAATGACACCCAACATGGTCGAAACGGACCAATTTTGAAAAATTAAAAAAATAAAGGGGGGCAGACAAATTTGCATTTTTCTCGCTTATTTGAAGAGGTAGATCAAAAACGAATACGGAATCGTAGTCCTGAGGAAATTCCGCGTGAAATGACACGCAACATGGTCGAAACGGACCAATTTTGAAAAATAAAAAAAATAAAGGGGGGCAGACAAATTTGCTTTTTTCTCGCTTATTTGAAGAGATATGTCAAAAACGAATACGGAATCGTAATCCTGAGGAAATTCCGCGTGAAATGACACCCAACATGGTCGAAACGGACCAATTTTGAAAAATTAAAAAAATAAAGGGGGGCAGACAAATTGGCATTTTTCTCGCTTATTTGAAGAGGTAGATGAAAAACGAATACGGAATCGTAATCCTGAGGAAATTCCGCGTGAAATGACAACCAACATGGTCGAAACGGACCAATTTTGAAAAATAAAAAAAATAAAGGGGGGCAGACAAATTGGCATTTTTCTCGCTTGTTTGAAGAGGTAGATCAAAAACGAATACGGAATCGTAATCCTGAGGAAATTCCGCGTGAAATAATAATATATAATATATAATAATATATATATTTGGTCTCCACAGATACATATATGAATAACAGTATATAAGACAAGTCAAAAAGAAAAAAAATACAAACAAAGAAACACTAAAACTAAAAATTAAAAACTAAACATTTAACAAGCAAAATAACAAAAGGACAAAATGATATTGTCAACATGCCATCAACCTTGAAAAAATTCACCTAGGGAATAATAACATTTATCTGTTAAAAATACTTTTAAATTTTTCCTAAATGATGATATTAACTGACAATTTTGAATATTCACTGGCAAGTAATTGAAAATTCTAACTCCCATACAATCAGTTGCTAACACACCAACATTACAACGTTTAAACGGAACATGAATCTGATGTTTTTGTCGGGTATTTACTTTATGTACGTTATGGACATACGTTAGATTATGTCGGTTTTTATAAATGTGAACACTCATTTCAAATATGTATAATGACGGAAGAGTCAATATATTTAATTTTTTAAAAAGGCTTTTGCAGCTTGTATGTTTACTTGCACCGGCAATTGTTCTGATGGCACGTTTTTGACTAATAAACACATTGGCTGCGCTTGGTGACCCACCCCATAAACAAATACCATACCTAATTCTGGATTCCACATGAGCATGGTATATATTAACCAATTGATCAATATTTAAAATTATCTTTAAATTTCTTAGAAGATAACACAGTGAGTTTAATTTTGGAACCAGTATTTTGGCATGTGACTTAAAGTTGAGGTTTGTATCTACCATAAGACCTAGAAATTTTATGGTGTCGACAGTGTTATGCTGTAGATTTGAACATTTGAGATCTATATACTTACAGGTGTTTTGGCGATTACGAAATCTTATAACTTGTGTTTTTTCAGAGTTTATATAAATGTTGTTGGTGGAAAACCAGGATTGGAGATTCGTCATTAAAATATTAACCCCTCTTTCTAATTGAACTTCATTGCGATCTGAAATTATAATCGACGTGTCATCAGCATATAAAACAGGTGATACATTTTTAAAGATGCTTTCAATGTCGTTTACGTAAAGAAGGAAGAGAATGGGTCCCAGAACTGATCCCTGGGGCACACCTACATCTATGTCAATTATGTTAGAACTGATTTGATTTTTAAAATTTTCTTTATTGGTATTCGGAATTGCAACGTACTGATGCCTGTTCTCGAGGTAGGATACTACCCAATCCAAGCTATTACCTCTACATCCATAAGAGAATAATTTGGTTATCAACAGATTATGATTTACGCAGTCGAATGCCCTGCTGAGATCACAAAAGATCCCAACAGGACACTCTCCCGCCTCTATTTTTGAAACAACATTGTTATACAAATCAATCATGGCAGTATTTGTGGAAAGATTATTACGAAAACCATGCTGGTATTTACTAAGCACATTATGATTGTCTAAAAATTTTTGTAAGCGACACAGAAATGCTTGTTCAAAAATTTTTGAAAAACTAGAGCTAATTGCAACAGGACGGTAATGATACCCAACATGGTCGAAACGGACCAATTTTGAAAAATTCGAAAAATCAAGGGTGGCAGACAAATTTGCATTTTTCTCCCTTATTTGAAGAGATATGTCAAAAACGAATACGGAATCGTAATCCGGAGGAAATTCCGCGTGAAATGATACCCAACATGGTCGAAACGGACCAATTTTGAAAAATAAAAAAAATAAAGGGGGGCAGACAAATTTGCATTTTTCTCGTTTATTTGAAGAGATAGATCAAAAACGAATACGGAATCGTAATCCTGAGGAAATTCCGCGTGAAATGATACCCAACATGGTCGAAACGGACCAATTTTGAAAAATAAAAAAAATAAAGGGGGGCAGACAAATTTGCATTTTTCTCGCTTATTTGAAGAGAAATGTCAAAAACGAATACGGAATCGTAATCCTGAGGAAATTCCGCGTGAAATGATACCCAACATGGTCGAAACGGACCAATTTTGAAAAATTCGAGAAATAAAGGGGGGCAAACAAATTTGCTTTTTTCTCGCTTCTTTGAAGAGATAGGTCAAAAACGAATACGAAATCTTAATCCTGAGGAAATTCCGCGTGAAATGATACCCAACATGGTCGAAACGGACCAATTTTGAAAAATAAAAAAAATAAAGGGGGGCAGACAAATTTGCTTTTTTCTCGCTTCTTTGAAGAGATAGGTCAAAAACGAATACGAAATCTTAATCCTGAGGAAATTCCGCGTGAAATGATACCCAACATGGTCGAAACGGACCAATTTTGAAAAATAAAAAAAATAAAGGGGGGCAGACAAATTTGCATTTTTCTCGCTTATTTGAAGAGATATGTCAAAAACGAATACGGAATCGTAATCCTGAGGAAATTCCGCGTGAAATGATACCCAACATGGTCGAAATGGACCAATTTTGAAAAATTCGAAAAATAAAGGGGGGCAAACAAATTTGCATTTTTCTCGCTTATTTGAAGAGATAGGTCAAAAACGAATACGGAATCGTAATTCTGAGGAAATTCCGCGTGAAATGATACCCAACATGGTCGAAACGGACCAATTTTGAAAAATTTGAAAAATAAAGGGGGGCAAACAAATTTGCATTTTTCTCGCTTATTTGAAGAGGTAGATCAAAAACGAATACGGAATCGTAATCCTGAGGAAATTCCGCGTGAAATGATACCCAACATGGTCGAAACGGACCAATTATGAAAAATAAAAAAAATAAAGGGAGGCAGACAAATTTGCTTTTTTCTCGCTTATTTGAAGAGATATGTCAAAAACGAATACGGAATAGTAATCCTGAGGAAATTCCGCGTGAAATGATACCCAACATGGTCGAAACGGACCAATTTTGAAAAATAAAAAAAATAAAGGGGAGCAGACAAATTTGCATTTTTCTCGCTTATTTGAAGAGATATGTCAAAAACGAATACGGAATCGTAATCCTGAGGAAATTCCGCGTGAAATGATACCCAACATGGTCGAAACGGACCAATTCTGAAAAATAAAAAAAATAAAGGGGGGCAGACAAATTTGCATTTTTCTCGCTTATTTGAAGAGATAGGTCAAAAACGAATACGGAATCGTAATCCTGAGGAAATTCCGCGTGAAATGATACCCAACATGGTCGAAACGGACCAATTTTAAAAAATTTGAAAAATAAAGGGGGCAGACAAATTTGCTTTTTTCTCGCTTATTTGAAGAGATATGTCAAAAACGAATACGGAATCGTAATCCTGAGGAAATTCCGCGTGAAATGATACCCAACATGGTCGAAGCGGACCAATTTTGAAAAATAAAAAAAATAAAGGGGGGCAGACAAATTTGCATTTTTCTCGCTTATTTGAAGAGATATGTCAAAAACGAATACGGAATCGTAATCCTGAGAAAATTCCACGTGAAATGATATCCAACATGGTCGAAACGGACCAATTTTGAAAAATAAAAAAAATAAAGGGGGGCAGACAAATTTGCATTTTTCTCGCTTATTTGAAGTGATATGTCAAAAACGAATACGGAATCGTAATCCTGAGGAAATTCCGCGTGAAATGATACCCAACATGGTCGAAACGGACCAATTTTGAAAAATAAAAAAAATAAAGGGGGGCAGACAAATTTGCATTTTTCTCGCTTATTTGAAGAGATAGGTCGAAAACGAATACGGAATCGTAATCCTGAGGAAATTCCGCGTGAAATGATACCCAACATGGTCGAAACGGACCAATTTTGAAAAATAAAAAAAAATAAAGGGGGGCAGACAAATTTGCTTTTTTCTCGCTTATTTGAAGAGATAGGTCAAAAACGAATACGGAATCGTAATCCTGAGGAAATTCCGCGTGAAATGATTCCCAACATGGTCGAAACGGACCAATTTTGAAAAATAAAAAAAATAAAGGGGGGCAGACAAATTTGCATTTTTCTCGCTTATTTGAAGAGATATGTCAAAAACGAATACGGAATCGTAATCCTGAGGAAATTCCGCGTGAAATGATACCCAACATGGTCGAAACGGACGTATTTTGAGAAATAAAAATAATAAAGGGGGGCAGACAAATTTGCATTTTTCTCGCTTATTTGAAGAGATATGTCAAAAACGAATACGGAATCTCAATCCTGAGGAAATTCCGCGTGAAATGACACCCAACATGGTCGAAACGGACCAATTTTGAAAAATTCGAAAAATAAAGGGGGGGCAGACAAATTTGCATTTTTCTCGCTTATTTGACGAGATATGTCAAAAACGAATACGGAATCGTTATCCAGAGGAAATTCCGCGTGAAATGATACCCAACATGGTCGAAACGGACCAATTTTGAAAAATAAAAAAAGTAAAGGGGGGCAGACAAATTTGCATTTTTCTCGCTTATTTGAAGAGATATGTCAAAAACGAATACGGAATCGTAATCCTGAGGAAATTCCGCGTGAAATGATACCCAACATGGTCGAAACGGACCAATTTTGAAAAATAAAAAAAATAAAGGGTGGCAGACACATGTGCATTTTTCTCGCTTATTTGAAGAGATATGTCAAAAACGAATACGGAATCGTAATCCTGAGGAAATTCCGCGTGAAATGATACCCAACATGGTCGAAACGGACCAATTTTGAAAAATAAAAAAAATAAAGGGGGGCAGACAAATTTGCATTTTTCTCGCTTATTTGAAGAGATAGAACAAAAACGAATACGGAATCGTACACGGTCGACAAGTATCAGTTTATTAGTTTGTAATGTACAAGGGATGAATTCTAATATAGCATACAGTAAGGAAGTCGGCATATATTGTTGGCGCATTTTTTAAACAAATTTTTCAGCAATCTCCTTCGCCTCTTTCCTTATCAACTTTCCAGTCGGCGTTTTCGGTATACTCTCAACGAAAATCACTCCACCTCTTAGTTTTTCCTTGTCGGAAACCCTCTCTGTCACAAACTTTTCAATTTCCTCCTTGTCGGTAGTACAGCCATCCTTTAGCACCACACAAGCAGCAGGTACGTCTCCTTCCGCACCTCCAGGAAGTCCAAAAACAACAGTTTCTTCAATATCCGGATGTTCCAAAAGCACCGCTTCGATCGACGACGGTACTATATGCCACGACTGGTACTTAAACATTTCCTTAATTCTCTCAATAACGTAAACGCAACCATCGTCATCATAGTACCCAATATCACCCGTTTTCAGGAAACCGTCACCATCGAAACACTCAGCACTGTCGTTCCGGTAGTACCCTGTCATCATAGCATCTGATTTCACTCGAAGCTCACCTTTCTGATTTGGTCCGACGATCTCTTCATTGTCTGGATTAACAATCTACAAAAACAAGTACACAAAAAGCAACTAAGCACACAATGGTACTCACTTTGAGAAGAGTTCGTGGTGAGACTTTGCCACAAGAACCCACTTTAGTATCTATGAGATGTTTGTCGTCTTCGGGGTGAAAAATAGACAGTAGTCCTATTTCGGACATTCCGTAACCAAAAAGAACTTGCGCTTTGGGAAACAGTTGTGTCAGTTTTTTATATTGATCGGTACTCATCGGAGTACCGCCTGTCAGTAAACAACGAAACGAGGAAAGGTCGTACCGTTCTGGATTTGGAACGTTAGTTAACTGGTAGGTGTAAATTGGGGCTACGAAAAGTGATGTGAGTTTGTATTTTTCGATCATTTGGAGCGTCTTTTCGCCTTCCATGCTACGTGCAAAAACCCGGGTACTTCCATCCAGGAAAGTCCGTCCCAGAATTGCCATACCGGTAATCCAGTACATAGTTGTGAAATGTAATATGGATCGACAATCGTACCCACAATAGCTGTAAAATCTCATTAATTCAATACTTGTCTTAACTATTTCTAGTACTAGTACTTACAATGATGTTTCTACGATTTGTAAAAAACTACGGTGACTGTGGCAGATAGCTTTTGGAAGACCCGTAGTACCGCTGCTGAAGAACATGACTGCGGTATCATCGATGTCTGTTTTTGACGGTTTGAATGCTTTTTCGTCGCCACAAGGCAACGTCATTTCGGCAAAAGTACCATGTTTTGTGGATTTGCCGAAAACTATAATTTCGCAAGATAATTTAGCCCCTTTAAGAGATTTTTCAATCAACTTTAGTGACTCTTCTTCCACGAAAATAATTCTAGGGGTTACGAGACTAAGCAAATGTTGAATGTTTCTAACCGACAGAGTTGGATCTAGATTTACAACTTTCGCTCCTAAATATGAGGATGCTATTAATGGTATAGAGTTATCCAAGGAATTAGTAGAACAAAAGCAAACTACATCGGTGGAAGTGATTCCCTTTTTTTGGAGATTCAATGCAACTCGAGTACTTCTTGTTTTCACACTGGAGTAAGTTTCTGATTTGTCTAAATCTCCATCTATCTACAAAGAAACGGAAAAATTGTACTAATAATAAGAATCATGTACAACATATTCCCCAAATTTTTGGAAAATATGGTGAGCCGTCTTCGAATTGGTCAATAAAATAAATACTGCTTCATTATTTTTTTTTGCTCATCCTGTATAAACAATTCTAACAAAAATGAGTGCATTGGTAAATCACAAAATGTAAACTTACACTATTTTGTACATTTTAAATAGCATTTATCCAACAAAATTTTGAGATCAACTTTTTAACAAAAACTAGAAAAATGGCAAAAAAGACGACAAAAACGGTGGTAAAAAAGCATAAGAAAAAGACAAAAAGGCGTCAATATAAATGTAAACTATAAAACGACAAAATGAGGGCAAAAAAATGCTTAAAAAAGCGACTAAAAAATAGACGGAAAGACGAAAAATAGGCCTAAAAACAAACAAAAAAGCTCCAAAAACATCAAAAATGGAATCAAAAATAACAAAAAAGTAGAAAAAATGAGGATAACAATGCAAAAAAGGCAAAAACAAGGTCAGCAAAAGAACAAAAAGGCCATGAAAATTATGACAAAAAAATGAAATAAAAATGCAACAAAAAATTGAAAAACGCAAAAAAAAGTAAAAAAAAAAACAAGAACAAGGTTGAAAAAAAGAGGACAAAAGTTAACTAAAAATACTGTAAAGAGGCCACAAAAAATTACAATAATACAAGGACGACTAAAAAGGACAAAAAACGACAAAAAAGGTGATTAAAAAAAGCTTCAAAAATGGGGTAAAAAACGTCAAAAAAGCACCAAAAACATGTCGAAGATGAAAAAAAAAAGACAAAAAAACGCCTACAAGGCGACAAAAAAAGCAGAAGTGAAAAAAACAAATCATAAAAAGTATACAAAAAAAAACACGCAAACTGTGACTAAAAAATGAAAAAAAAAGACAGCAAAACACTTGTCAAAAAAAAAACGAAAAAAATTAGATTGAAGTCCAAAGGAGGCAGAAAAAAAGTGCCAAAAAAATAAAAAAGAGGGCTATAAAAAAAGTCTCAAAAGCAATGATAAACAAACCGGCAAATAAAATATCATAGATATAATAAAAAGGACCCACCAAAAAAAGCGTAAAGAAAGCCAAAAAACGAGATAGAAAAAGATGATAAAAAATGTCATAAAAAAAAAGAAGAAAAAAGTAAGAGGACAAAAATGGCAAACAAAAATAACCAAAAAAGGCGATAGAAAAAGGCCGAAAAAAACACCAAAAGAGTATGAGAATACTTCAAAAGGAGAAAAACGATGAAAAAACTAACAAAAAAGCGAAAAAGTAGAAACAAGGATAAAAAATATAACCAAAAAAAGGACAAAAAAGGAAACAAAAAAGACAATAATATAAATTCGACTAAAAACAGACAAAAAGAGAAAAAGAAACAAAAAAAGAGCTACAAAAATACACAAAAACTATACAAAAAGAATAATAGAGTGACAAGGAAAACGAAAAAAGAGGAGACAAAAAAATGCCACAAAAAACTGAAGATAAACGAAAACAAAAAAAAGGCTCCCAAAAAAAAACAAAATCTGCAATGGAAAAGTCATAAAAATTATCATAGAAGAAGCGGCAAGAAAAGGTGCTGAAAAATTTCAAAAAACAAGGTCAGAAAAAAAGATGACCAAAAGAGGCAAATAAAAGATGACCAGGAAGATCTCAAAAAATATATCATATTTATCGAAAAAAAAGTGATAAAAAAACGAAAAAAGGCGATAAAAAAAGAGGAAAACACGAAAACGAAAAATAAGGGAGACACAAAGAGCTACTAAATGCGGCAGAAAATATAAAGGCGAAAGGATAAAAATGCTTCAAAAGAAAAAACACGATAAAAAGAATAACAAAAAAGCGGAAAAGTAGAAAATGTGAAAAAAAGGTTCAAAAAACGACCAAAAAGGCCTAAAAATCACTTTCGAGACGGTGACAAGAAAGGGATAAAAAAACAACCATAGAAGGATAGAAAAAAGTGAGCAAAAAAGGCAACAAAAAAGACGATAATACAAATTCGACTGAAAACAGAAAAAAGAGGGACAAACAAATTTATAAACGCGCTTCGAAATTAAAAGGTGATAAAACGGGCTAGAAAATCGACCTCAAAGCTTGAAAAAGCCCCGAAAAAACAACAAAAAAATGCGGTAAAAAACGACAAAAAGATTTAAAAAAAACGCTTAAAAAACGAAAAAAAAGACAAAAAACGATTAAAAGATAACCAAACAAGACGAAAAAAAGAAAAAAAAACAGAAAAAAAGTTGAAAAAAAAAACTACAAAAATACACAAAAACTATGAAAAAAAAAAGAAAAATAAAGTGACAAGGAAAACGAAAAAAGGGGCCACAAAAAATGCTATAAAAAGCTGAAGGAAACCGAAAACAAAAAAAAGGCTTCCAAAAAAATTTCAAGAAAAGGCGATAAAAAGGTCAGCAAAAAAGAGGACCAAAAAGTCAACTAAAAGATGACTAGAAAGACTACAAAAAAGTCAAAAAGTACCCACCATATTTATCGAAAATTAAGTGATTAAAAAGAAACAAAAAAAGTCGATAAAAAAACAACAAAAAAGCAAAAAAGTAGAAAATGTGGAAAAAGCTTCAAAAAACGACCAAAAAGGCCTAAACATCACCTTCGAAAAGGCGATAAAAAAGGGATAAAAACAACCATCGAAGGACAGGAAAAAGTGAGGGAAAAAGGAAAACAAAAAAGACGATAATATAAATTCGATCAAAAACAGAAAAAAAGGGGGACCAAAAAGGACATAAACGCCCCGAAGTCAAAAAATGATCAAACGGGGTAAAAATTCTATCGCAAAGCTTGAAAAAGCTCAAAAAAAAAACAAAAAAGGCGTCAAAAAACGCTTGAAAAAGGACAAAAAACGACTAAAAGATGTGCAAACAAGACGAAAAAAAAAAACAAAAAAAAGAGTTAAAAAAGGTTACCAAAAAGGGTACCTAAAATATACAAAAACTATGAAAAAAAAAACAAAAATAAAGTGATAAGGAAAACGAAAAAAGGGGCGACAAAAAATGTCTCAAAAAGCTGACAAAAAAAGAAAACAAAAAAAGAAAAAAGGCTCCAAAAAAACAAAAACTGAAATAGGAAAGTCATAAAAATATGATAAAAAGCGACAAAAAAAAAGGTGTACGAAAATTTTGAAAAAAGGCCGATAAAAAGGTCAGAACAAAGGGGACCAAAAAAGGCAACTACAAGATGACCATAAAGACGACAAAAAAAATAAAAAAAGACCATATTTCTCTACAGAAAAGTGATAAGAAACGAAAAAAGACAAAAAAAGATGAAAACACGAAGGCAAAAAATAAGGGGGACATAAAAAGTAACTGAATAATATCACAAAAGGCGACAGGCGAAGGCGAAAGATAAAAACACTTCAAAAGAAAAAAGACGATAAAAAAAAACAACAAAAAAAGAGAAAAAGTAGAAAATATGGAAAGAATTTCAAAAAACGACGAAAAAACCTAAACATTACCTTCGATAAGGCGACAAAAAACGGATAAATTAATCAATAAAAGGAAGCAAAAAAGAAACAAAAAAAGACGATAATACAAAGTCGATTAAAATCAGAATAAAAGGGACAAAAGGACATAAACTCCTCGAAACCAAAAGGTAATAAAACAGGGTACAACAATCGACGAAGAAGCTTAAAAAAGCTCCAAAAAAAAACAACAAATAAAAGGTGGGAAAAAATGACAAAATGTCAAAAAACGCTTAAAAAAAGAAAAAAATTGAACAAAAAAACGACTAAATGAAAAAAACGAAAACAAAAGAAGCCTTCCAAAAAAAACAAAAACTGCAATGGAATTCATAAAAATTATCAAAGAGAGTGCCAAAAAAGGTGCCAAAAAATTCAAAAAAAGGTGCTGAAAATATCAGAAAGAAAGGGAACCAAAAAAGGCAACTCAAAGATGACCAAAAAACCTCAAAAAAAGTCACAAAGGACCCACCATATTTATCGAAAAAAAGTGTTAAACAAATGAACAAAAGACGATAAAAAAAAGACGAAAATACAAAGGCGAAAAATAAGGGGGACACAAAAAGCAACTGAAGGATGATCACAGAAGGCGACAGAAAATATAAAGGCGAAAGGATAAAAACGCTTCAGAAGAAAAAAGAGGACAAAAAGAACAACAAAAAAGCGAAAAAATAGAAAATGTGGAAAAAAGTTTCAAAAAACGACCAAAAAGGACTAAAAATCACCTTCGAAAAGGCGACGAAATGGAATAAAAAACAACCATAGAAGGACAGAAAAAAGTGAGCAAAAAAGGAAACAAAAAAAAACAATAACACCAGGGTGATAAAACGGGGTAAAAAATCGATTGGAACGTTTGACAAAGCTCAAAAAAAACAACCAAAAAAAAAGGCGTCAAAAAACGCTTAAAAAATGAAAAAGGACAAAAAATACAGAAAAAAGAGTTATACACAAAAACTATGAAAAAAAAACGAAAAATAAAGTGATAAGGAAAACGAAAAGAGCCCAAAAAAATATCACAAAAAGCTGACGAAAAACAAAAAAATGAAACAAAAAAAGGCTCCAAAAAAAACAAAAATTGCAATGGAAAAGTCATAAAAATATGATTAAAAAAGCGACAAAAAAATGGAGTCAGAAAAATTTCAAAAAGGGCGATAAAAAGGTCAGAAAAAAATGGACCAAAAAAGACAACTACAAGGTGACCAGAAAGATGAAAAAAAAGTCAAAAAGGATACCAATTTTACGACAAAAAAAGGTGATAAAAAACGACGAAAAAGAGGAAAACACAACAAAAAGCAACTAAATGATGATCACAAAAGGCGACAGAAAATATAAAGGCGAAAGGATAAAAACTCTCAAAAGAAACAAGACGATAAAAAATGCAACAAAAAAGCGAGAAAGTAGAAAATGTGGAAGAAAGCTTCAAAAAACCACCAAAAAGTCTTAAAAATTACCTTCGAAAAAGCGACAGAAAAAGGAAGCAAAGAAGAAACAAAAAAAGACGATAACACAAATTCAACTAAAAACAGAAAAAAATGGACAAAAAAGGACATAAACTCTTCGAAACCAAAAGGTGATAAAACAGGGTAAACCAATCCAGCAAGAAGCTCCAAAAAACAACCAAAAAAAAAGCGGAAAAAACACAAGAGTCAAAAAACGCTTCAAAAAAAAGAAAAAGGACTAAAAGATGAACAAACAATGCGAAAAGAGAAAAAAACCCACAAAAGGCTACAAAAATAAAGAAAAACTATAACAAAAAATTTTTTTTTAAAAACGACAAGAAAAATGAAAGAAAGGGCCGACGAAAAAATGTCACAAAGAAGCTGACGAAAAACGAAAACAAAAAGGAAAAAACATAAGACGAAAACACAAAGGGAAAAAATAAGGGAAAAACAGCTAAAAGATTATCAAAAAAGGCGAAAAAAATTACCCAAACGGGACAAAAACGCTTCAAAAGAAAAAAAGCAATTAAAAAAGGACGACGAAAAAGGTGAAAAAGGAGGACAAGGAAAGGAAATCAAAAAGGTACCTAAAAAATATAACCCAAAAAATAAAAACACTCCAAACAAAACAAAAAAGGCGATAAAAAACAAAGGGACAAAAATAAGAAGGAAAAAGCCGCAAAAACGACCAAAAAAGCAACTAAAAGATGACAAAAAAAAAACCTCCAAAAAAATTGACATAAGAAAGGCCGAGAAATAATTGATACATCTTAATCAGCATTTATCCAATAAACCGGATAAAGAAAAATGTTTTGGTCTGAATTTTACAAAAAATGAAATTAGCCGTTCGCCTATTACAGAACTTTCTCGGCGTATACCCAAAAATTGAAATTGAACAATGAATTAATAATAACGACCCCGTGATATATATTTACGTACCTGACAAATTCTGTCTGCGTATTTTTCACAGCATTCAAATAAAAATTCGCCGAAACTTATTTTGTCGAAATTTGGATGAAATTCTTTCCCTTTTAAAATGCGAGCAGACATTGTCGACGTTAAGAGGCAACTAACTATAATTAACAACTAATTTCCTTGTTTATATACCATCCTAGATAAGATTGTTTACGGTAATTATATATATGAAACGACAAAAGTGATTCGATAAGAATATGATTCAAGTATGGATTTAACGCATGTTCAACACTTTTATAATATGTATGAACAATGTGTAAATTACGTAGTTTTAAATATATTATCTCAAATAAATTAAAAAAGTACACAATTGCTGACACGAAGTTTCATATAGTTCATATATTTCCTATATCTCTAAATAAATAATACTTTAATATACTGTGAAAATATTTACTTTACAAATAACAAAAGATTCCGTATTTAAAACGACGCATTTTTCCATAGAATAGTGTTGTTTCAGATACTAACATGCACAATTATCAATAAGAATTCGTAAGTCAATTCTCAACATAAGTAAACTTAAAGTTTGATTGTTTTTGTAATTTCACGGGCAATTCAAACCTAGTTTTAAAAGACACCTGACAGGAGGAAACAAAAAAACACAGTGGATTTTTTATTATCATTAAACAAACAGACGTAAGATAACAGTAAACTTGCATTTCTGTAACTTGAGATTTCGAGCTGGGAAACCCAAAGAAAAATCAAAATTGGTGTAAACAGCAAAAGAACTGAAATTATGAAAATAAAACGTAATAATAAAGGACATTTAAAACAAACACAGAAAAATCTAAAATTGAAAAAAATCGAAAAATTGAAAAAGCAAAAATTTGAAAGAAATGACAAATCGGAAAATTGAGGAGACGAACTCGAGAAATCGTAAAATGAAAAATTTGAAAAAACAGCAATTTGGGACTCAAATTTAATTAATAAAAAAATTTCAAGAGTCGAAAATTTGAAAAAACAGCAAACCGAAAATTTAACAAAATAAAAAAGTGAATAATCCAGCACACACAAAATTGGAAATAGTAAAAGTTAAAAAGTCGAAAAAGTGAAAAACCGGAAAAATTAAAAAATTGGAAAATTGAGAAATCGAAAAGTTGGATTCGAAAAACGAGAAATCGAGAAATCAGGAAATTGAAAAGTCAAAAATTTCAACAATTATTACATATTAAAAAAAAAACAAAAAATTGAAAAAATGAAAAATCAATAAATCAAAGAATCAATTGATCAAATGATCAAAGATTGAAAGGATCGAAGGGTCAAGGGACCTAAGGAACAAATAATCAAAGTATCAAAGGTTCAAAGTATCGTAAGTTCGCAGAATCGAAGGATCAAAGGTTCAAAGGTTCAAAGTAGCGTAGGGTCGAAGGATGGAAGGAACAAAGGAACAAAAGATCAAAGGTTCAAAGTATCAAACGTTCAAAGTATCGTAGATTCGAAGGAGCAAAGGACGAAAGGTAGAATGAACGAAATGACGAAAGAATGAAAGGACCAAAGGACGAAAATAACGAAAAGGACGAAAGGACGAAAAGGCGAAAGGACGAAAGGGTGAAAGGGATGAAAGGATCAAAGGATCGAAAGATCAAAGGATCCAAGGAAAAAAGAATCAAAGTATCAAAGGTTCAAAGTATCGTAGGTTTGCAGGATCGAAGGATCAAAGATTCAAAGGATCAAAGGATCAAAGGTTCAAAGGATCAAAGGATCCAAGGAACAAAGAATCAAAGTATCAAAGGTACAAAGTATCGTAGGGTCGAAGGATCGAAGGATCAAAGGATCAAATGATCAAAGGTTCAAAGGATCAAAAGATCCAAGGAACAAAGAATCAAAGTATCAAAGGTTCAAAGTATCGTAGGTTCGAAGGAGCATAGGACGAAAGGACGAAAATAACCAAAAGGACGAAAAGGACGGAAAGGACGAAAAGGAGGAAAAAGACGAAAAGGACGAAAATGAACAAAAAGGACCAAAAGAAAGAAAGGGATGAAAATGACGAAAAGGACCAAAAGGACGAAGAGGACGAAAATGGTGAAAAGACGAAAAGGACGAACAGGACGAAAATGAGGAACATGACGAAAAGGACCGAAAGGACGAAAAGAACGGAAAAGAGGAAAAGGACGGAAAGAACGGAAAGGACGGAAAGGACGAAAAGGACGAAAATGGCGAAAGGACGAAGGGACGAAAGGACGAAAGGACAAATGGACGAAAGGGATCAAAGGATCAAAGGATCCAAGGAACAAAGAATCAAAGTATCAAAGGTACAAAGTATCGTTGGGTCGAAGGATTGCAGGACCAAAGGATCGAAGGACCAAAGGGCCAAGGTACCAAAGGACCAAAGGACGAAAGGACGAAAGGACGAAAGGACGAAAAGACGAAAGGACGAAAGTACGAAAGGACAAAAGGATGAAATGACGAAAAGACGAAAAAACGAAAGGACGAAAGGGCGAAAGGGATGAAAGAATCAAAGGATCAAAGGATCAAAGGATCCAAGGAACAAAGAATCGAAGTATCAAATGTACAAAGTATCGTTGGGTCGAAGGATCGAAGGACCAAAGGATCAAAGTACCAAAGGACCAAAGAACCAAAGGACGAAAGGACGAAAGGACGAAAATGACCAAAAGGACGAAAAGAACGAAAAGAACGAAAAGGACGGAAAGGACGAAAAGGACGAAAAGGAGAAAAGGACGAAAATAGCGAAAGGACGAAAATAGCGAAAGGACGAAGGGACGAAAGGACGAATGGACGAATGGACGAAAGGACGAAAGAACGAAAGAACGAAAGGTCGAAAGGTCGAAAGGTCGAAAGGACGAAAGGGCGAAAGGGATCAAAGGATAAAAGTATCAAAGGATCAAAAGATCACAGGATTAAATTTTCAAAGGATCAAAGGATCCAAGGAACAAAGAATCAAAGTATCAAAGGTACAAAGTATCGTTGGGTCGAAGGATCGAAGGACCAAAGGACGAAAGGACGAAAAGATGAAAGGACGAAAGGCTGAAAGGGATGAAAGGATTAAAGGATTAAAGGATCAAAGTATCAAAGTATCAAAGGATCCAAGGAACAAAGAATCAAAGTATCAAAGGTACAAAGTATGGTTGGGTCGAAGGATTGCAGGACCAAAGGATCGAAGGACCAAAGGACCAAAGTACCAAAGGACCAAAGGACCAAAGAACCAAAGGACCAAAGGACGAAAGGACGAAAAGACGAAAGGACGAAAGTACGAAAGGACAAAAGGACGAAAGGACGAAAAGACGAAAGAACGAAAGGACGAAAGGGTGAAAGGGATGAAAGAATCAAAGGATCAAAGGACCAAAGAGTCAAAGGATCAAAGGATCCAAGGAACAAAGAATCGAAGTATCAAATGTACAAAGTATCGTTGGGTCGAAGGATCGAAGGACCAAAGGACCAAAGTACCAAAGGACCAAAGGACCAAAGAACCAAAGGACCAAAGGACGAAAGGACGAAAGGACGAAAATGATCAAAAGGATGAAAAGGACGGAAAGGACGAAAAGGACGAAAGGCATGAAAAGGACGACAATGACTAAAAGGACCAAAAGAACGAAAGGACGAACAGGACGAAAAGGATGAAAAGGACGAAAAGGACGAAAAGACGAAAGGACGAAAAGGACGAACAGGACGAAAATGGCGAAAAGACGAAAAGGACGGACAGGACGAAATTGACGAACATGACGAAAAGGACCGAAAGGACAAAAAGAACGAAAAGGGCGGAAAGGACGAAAAGGACGAAAAGGAGAAAAGGACGAAAATAGCGAAAGGACGAAGGGACGAAAGGACGAATGGACGAATGGACGAAAGAACGAAAGAACGAAAGGTCGAAAGGTCCAAAGGACGAAAGGACGAAAGGGCGAAAGGGATCAAAGGATAAAAGAAACAAAGAATCAAAGTATCAAAGGTACAAAGTATCGTTGGGTCGAAGGATCGAAGGACCAAAGGACGAAAGGACGAAAAGATGAAAGGACGAAAGGGTAAAAGGGATGAAAGGATTAAAGGATCAAAGGATCAAAGTATCAAAGGATTCAAGGATCAAATGATCCAAGGAACAAAGAATCAAAGTATCAAAGTTTCAAAGTATCGTAGGTTCGAAGGAGGAAAGGACGAATAGGACGAAAAGGAGAAAAAGGACGAAAAGGACGAAAAGGACGAAAACGACAAAAGGACCAAACGAACGAAAGGGATGAAAATGACGAAAAGGACCAAACGGACAAAAGGACGAAAAGGACGAAAAGGACCAAAAGGACGAAAAGAACGAAAAGGACGAAAATGACCAAAGGAACCAAAAGGACCAAAAGGACGAAAATGATGAAAAGGACGAACAGGACGAAAATGGCGATAAGGAAGAAAAGGACGAACAAGACGAAAAGGACGCAAAGCGCGAAAAGGACGAAAAGTACGAACAGGACGAAAATGGCGAAAAGACGAAAAGGACGAACAGGACGAAAATGAAGAACATGACGAAAAGGACCGAAAGGACGAAAAGAAAGAAAATTCGAAAGCTCGAAAGGTCGAAAAGACGAAAGGACGAAAGGGATCAAGGATCAAAGGATCATAAGATCACAGGATCAATGAATCGAGAATAAAAAAAAACAAAAAATTAAAAAATTCAAAAATCGATGAATTGAAAAGTCGCATAATCGAGAAATTCAAAATTGAAATATCTAAAAATCGGAAAATTAGGAAATCAAAAAAACTGAAAATACTAAAATTTAAGATATCAAAAAATTGAAAATCCGAAAAATTGAAATAGTAAGAAATTCAGAAACTGAAAAATTGAAATCGAAAAACTGAAAAATCGAAAAAGTGAAAAATAAAAACCTGAAAAATCATCGCGAAATTGAAGTCTAAAAAACCTAAAAATTGAAAAATCGAAAACGGTATTCCATCGAATGATTTAAATGTGATTTAAATAAAAAATCGCAATCTTTGGTTAGAATCAGCAAATTCGATGTCAAAGATAATATTTACATGAAAACTATTCTTTGAAATAACTTATAGTAAAAGTGGAATTTCTAATTGGAAGTTAAACTCAAAATATTCTTTGAAATATCAATTTATTAGTCTGAAGTGTACAAGAAAGGAATAATATCCCAAAGTCAGACAATCAGTCGGTATATTGTTGGTTGTTTTTTTACAGCGACTTTATCGCAATCTTCCTCGCCTCGTTCCTTATCAACTTTCCAGTCGGCGTCTTGGGCAAACTCTCAACGAAAATCACTCCCCCTCTTAATTTTTCCCTGTCGGAAACCCTCTCTGCCACAAACTTCTCAATTTCCTCTTTATCAATAGTACAACCATCCTTTAGCACCACACAAGCAGCAGGTACTTCCCCTTCAGCGCCTCTGGGAAGTCCAAAAACAACCGTTTCTTCAACATCCGGATGTTCCAAAATCACCGCTTCGATCGACGACGGTACTATATGCCACGACCGGTACTTAAACATTTCCTTCATTCTCTCAATAACATAAACGCAACCATCGTCATCGTAATACCCAATATCACCCGTTTTTATGAAACCGTCATCATCGAAACACCCAGCACTGTCGTTCCGGTAGTACCCTTTCATTATTGCACCGGATTTTCCTCGAACCTCGCCTTCCTGATTTGGTCCGAGGATCTCTTCATTATCGGGATTAACAATCTACAAAAACAATTACACAAAAAGCAACTAAGCACATAATGGTACTCACTTTGAGAAGAGTTCGTGATGCAACTTTACCACAAGAACCCACTTTAGTATCTATGAGATGTTTGTCGTCTTCGGGGTGAAAGACAGTCAGTATTCCGACTTCGGTCATTCCGTAAGCAAAAAGTATTTGGACTTTGGGAAACAGTTGTGTCAGTTTTTTATATTGATCGGTACTCATCGGAGTACCGCCTGTCAGTAAATAACGAAACGAGGAAAGGTCGTACCGTTCCGGATTTGGAACGTTAGTTAACTGGTAGGTGTAAATTGGGGCGACGAAAAGTGAAGTGAGCTTGTATTTTTCGATCATTCGGAGAGTTTTTTCGCCTTCCATGGTACGAGCGAAGACCCGGGTAGTTCCATCCACGAAAGTACGTCCCAGCATTATTAGACCCGATACCCAGTAGAAAGTGGTAAAATGTAATAGTAATCGGGAATCGTATCCAGAATTGCTGTAAAGTAATTTTGCTGTAATTTTGTATTTATCCCAACTATTTCCCGGTACTTACTATGTTATTTCTACCATTTGCAAAAAACTACGGTGGCTGTGGCAGATAGCCTTTGGAAGACCTGTAGTACCGCTGCTAAAGAACATAATTGCGGTGTCATCGATGTCTGTTTTTGACGGTTTGAATGTTTTTTCTTCCCCACAAGGCAACGTCATGTTGGCAAAAGTACCATATTTTGTGGATTTGCCAAAAACTATGATTTCGCAAGATAATTTAGCCTCATTAATACACTTTTCAATAAATTGTAGCGACTCTTCTTCCACGAAAATAATTCTAGGAGTTACGAGATTCAGTAAATGTTGAGTGTTTCTGGCCGACAGAGTTGGATCTAGATTCACAACTTTTGCGCCCAGATACAAGGCTGCTATTACGGGTATTGAATTGTCCAAGGAATTATTAGTACAAGAGCAAACTACATCGGTAGAAGTGATTCCCTTTTTTTGGAGATTCACTGCAACTCGGGTAGTTCTTGTTTTTACACTGGAGTAAGTTTCGGACTGATCTAAATCTGCATCTATCTGTAACGAAACGAAAAAATTGATGTACAGTCAAACGAATCCCAGTTTATCAATTAAATAATAAATTAGCAAGCATATATCAATTTGAGTAGGTACATTATAATATTAGTAAAAACAGTAATGTATTCATAAAATTTTTGAAAAATGGGGTGAGCCAGTCTCGATTTGGTTAATTAAGTAAACTGCTTAAAAAAAAAAACAAAAAAAGTAACAAAAGGTGACAAAAAGGCGATAAAACACGAAAAAATGACCAAGAAACATTAAAAACGACAAAAAAGTGCCCAAAAACACCGTCGAATAGGTGAAAAAAAAATGGGACCGAAAAAGGATATAAACACGAAAAAAGGCAACTAAAAATGGCTAAAAAAGGAGACAAAAAAAAATGAAAAAACCAAAGAGACAAGAAACAGATTAAAACTACAAAATAAGAACCAAAATTAGGACCAAAAAATGCTTAAAAACCAATAGAAAAAGTCGATAAAAAAGTAAAAATAGAAATGATTCAAAAATTAAAAAAAAAAAAATGGAAAAGCTGGCAATAAACCGGTTCTAAAGGGGCCAAAAAATCCAAGAAACTCGAGAAAACTAAGAAACGAAAAAATTCTAGAAATTCAAAAAAAGACTTTCCAAGAATCTCAAGAAACCGAAGAATAGCAAAAAATTCGAGAAATCCAAGAAATTCAAGAATTTTAAGAAACCCGAGGATTTCAAAAAACCCAAAAACTCAAAAAGCCAAGAAATCTGAGAAAGCCAAGAAATCGAAAAAATTCGAGGAATCCAATAATTATAAAATCCACGAAATCTAAGAAATTTAAGACAACTAAGAAATTCAAGCAATTTGAGAAATCTAAGAAATTCAAGATACCCAAGAAACCCGAAGAAATCAAGAAATTCAAAAAATCCAAAAAATCCGAGAAATCCAAGAAATTCAAGACATCCAAGAGAACCAAGAAATCCAAGAGATCCAAGAGATTCAAGAAATCCAAAAATCTAAGAAATTAAAAAAATCGACAGATTTCAAGAAACCCAAAAACTCAAGAAAACCAAGAACTCCAAGAAACCGAAAAAATTCGAGAAATCCAATAATTCCAAAATCAAGGAATTCTAAAAAACTCAAGAAATCCAAGGAACCCAAGAAATCCAAAAAATCCAAGACATCCAAGAAATCCAAGATATCCAAGAGATCCAATAGGTCTAAGAGATCTAAGAGATCTAAGAAATCCAAGAGATTTATGAGATTCAAGAAATCCAAGAAATTGAAGAAATCGAAGGATTTCAAGAAATTCAAAAACTCAAGAATCCCAGGAAACCGAAAAATTTCGAGAACCCCAATAATTCCAAAATCCACGAATCCTAAGAAATTTAAGAAAATTAAGAAATTCAAGCAATTTGAGAAATCTAAGAAACTCAAGATATCCAAGAAACCCAAAGAATTCAAGAATTCCAAGAAATCCAAAAAATCCAAGAGTTCCAAGAGAACCAAGAAACCCAAGAAATCAAAAAAATCCAAGAGATCCGGGACATCCAAGAGATCGAAGAGATCCAAGAAATTCAAAAGAACCAAGAAATCCAAGAAACCGAAAAAATTCGAGAAATCCAATAATTCCAAAATCAAGGAATTCTAAGAAACTCAAGAAATCCAAGAAACCCAAGAAATCCAAAAAATCCAAGACATCCAAGAAATCCAAGAAATACAAGAAATCCAAGAAATCCAAGAAATCCAAGAGATCCAAGAGATCTAAGAGATCCAAGAGATCTAAGAAATCCAAGAGATCTATGAGATCCAAGAAATCCAAGAAATTGAAGAAATCGAAGGATTTCAAGAAACTCAAAAACTCAAGAAACCCAGGAAACCGAAAAAATTCGAGAACTTCAATAATTCCAAAATCAAGGAATTCTAAGAAACTCAAGACATCCAAGAAACCCAAGAAGTCCAAGAGATCTAAGTGATCCAAGAGAACCAAGAGATCCAAAGGATCCAAGAGGTCCAATATATCCAAGAGATCCAAGAAATTCAAGAAATCCAAAAAATCTAAGAAATTCAAGAAATCGAAGCATTTCAAGAAATTCAAAAACCCAAGAAAACCAAGAAATCAAAGAAACCGAAAAAATTCGAGAAATCCAATAATTCCAAAATCAAGGAATTCTAAGAAACTCAAGAAATCCAAGAAACCCAAGAAATCCAAAAAATCCAACGATCCAAGAGAACCAAGAAATCCTACAAATCCAAGGGTTCCAAGGGAATCAAGAAGTCCAAGAAATCCAAGAAATCCAAGAAATCCAAAACATCCAAGAGATCCAGGACATTCAAGAAATCGAAGAGATCCAAGAAATACAAAACATCCAAAACATCCAAGAGATCCAAGAAACTCAAGAGAACCAAGAAATTCAAAAGATCCAGGAGATCCAAGAGATCCAAGAGATCCATGAAATTCAAGAAATCCAAAAAATACAAAAGATCCAAGATATCCAAGACATCTAAGAGTTCCAAGCGATCCAAGCGATTCAAGAGATCCAAGAATACAAGAAATGCAAGAAATCCAAATATTTCAAGAAACCCAAGGATTTAAAAAAGTACAAGAAATCTGAGAAACCCAAAAGAAACCGAAAAAATTCGAGAAATCCAATAATTCCAAAATTCACGAAATCCAAGAAACCCAAGAAATCAAGAAATCCCAGAAATTGAAGAAATTCAAGAGATCAAGATATCCAAGACATACAATACATCTAAGAAATCCAAGCGATCCAAGAAATGCAAAAAACCCAAGGATTTAAAAAAACCCAAGAAATCTAGAAACCCAAGAAACCTAAACAATTCGACAGATCCAATAATTCCAAAATCCACGAAATCTAAGAAATTCAAGAAAACTAAGAAATTCAACCAATCTGAGACAAGCAGCTCAAGAAATCGAAGAAATCCAAGAAATCCAGGAAATCCTGAAAATTCAAGTAATCCAAGAGATCCAAGAGCCCCAAGAATTTCGAAAACTCAAGAAACTCAAGAAATCCAAGAAACGCAAGAAATCCAAAAAATCTAAGAAATCCAAGAGATCCAAGAAATCCAAGAGATTCAAGAGATGCAAGAGATCCAAGATATCCAAGCGATCCAAGAGATCCCAGACATCCAAAAGATCCAAGACTTCCAAAAGATTCATGAAATCCAAAAAATCCAAGAAATTCAAGAGCTTCAAGAAAACCAAGAAATCCAAGAGATCCGAGAAATCCAAGAGGTCCAAAAGATCCAAAAGATCGAAGAAATCTAAAAAATCCAAGAAATTCAAGAAATCCAAGGATTTCAAAAAACCCAAAAACTTAAGAAAACCAAGAAATGCAAGAAATCCAAGAAATTCAGAAACCCAAGGATTTAAAAAAACCCAAGGATTCTGAGAAACCCAAGAAACCGAAAAATTCCAGATTCAATAATTCCAAAGACCACGAAATCTAAGAAATTCGAGAAATCTAAAAATTTCAAGCAATCTGAGTAATTTAAGAAACTCAAGAAATCTAAGAAATCCAAGAGATCCAAGAGATGCAAGAGATCCAAGAGATGCAAGAGATCCAAGATATCTAAGCCATCCAAATGATCCAAGAGTTCCAAGTGATCCAAGAAATCCCAGAAGCCCAGGAAACCGAAAAATTTCGAGGAATCCAAATAATTCCAAAATCCAGGAAATCTATGAAACTCAAAAAATCCAAGAAATCTAATAAATCCAAGGATCCAAGAAATACAAGAGATCCAAGAAATCCAAGAAACCAAAAAAATCCAAAAAATCCAAGACTTGAAAGAGATCCAAGAAATCCAATAATTCAAGTAAGCCAAGAAAATGAAGAAACCGAAAAAATTTGAGAAATTCAATAATTCCAAAATCCACGAAAAATATGAAACTCAATAAATTCAAGAAAGCTAAAAAATCCAAGGATCCAAGAAATCCAAGAGATCTAAGAGTTCCAAGAGATCCAAGAGATCCAAGAACTCCAAGAGATCCAAAAAATCGAAGAATTCAACAAATCCAAGAATTTCAAGAAACCCAAAGATATCAAAAACCAAAAAATTCAAGAAACTCAAGAAACCCAAGAAATCGAAAAAATTCGAGAAATCCAATAATTTCAACATCCACGAAATCTAAAACATTCAAGAAATCTAAGAAATTCAACAAACGCCAGAAATCCAAAAAATCCAAGAAATCCAAGAGATGCAAGAGATCCAAGAAATCCAAGAGTTCCAAATAGTCCAAGAAATCCCAGAAAACCAAAAAATCCTAGAGATCCAAGCGATTCAAATAATCCAAGAATCCAAAAAATCCAAGGATTTCAAAAAACCCAAGAAATGTGAGAAACCCATGAAATCGAAAAATTCGAGAAATCCAACAATTCCAAAATCCACGAAATCTAAGAAATTCAAGAAAACGAAAAATTTCTCAAGCAATCCGAGTAATTGAAAAAACTCAAGAAGTCTAAGAAATCCAAGAAATCCAAGTGACCCAAGAGATGCAAGAGATCCAAGATATCCAAGCGATCCAAGAGTTCCAAGAGATCCAAGAAATCCCAGAAACCCAGAAATTCCAAGGAATCCTAGAAATCCAAGAAATTAAAAATCCAAGAGATCTAAGAGATCCAAGAGATTCAAGCGATCCAAGAAATGCAAGAATTTCAAAAAACCCAAAGATTTCAAAAAACCCAAGAAATCTAGAAACCCAAGAAACCTAAAAAATTCGACAGATCCAATAATTCCAAAATCCACGAAATCTAAGAAATCCAAGAAAACTAAGAAATTCAACCAATCTGAGACAAGCAGCTCAAGAAATCGAAGAAATCCAAGAAATCCAGGAAATCCTGAAAATTCAAGTAATCCAAGAGATCCAAGAGCCCCAAGAATTTCGAAAACTCAAGAAACTCAAGAAATCCAAGAAACGCAAGAAATCCAAAAAATCTAAGAAATCCAAGAGATCAAAGAAATCCAAGAGATTCAAGACATGCAAGAGATCCAAGATATCCAAGCG